TTCAAATTTATAAAAGATTTGATATCGAAAGCAAAACTATCGCTACCCTAAAACATATGTCACTTATATCACCAGATGAAGAAATTGCAAAAAACCAGCATCATTAGGGCCTTTAGTGTTCTATTTTCCCAACTTGACAACTGAACGTAAAAGAAATAGACAAAGAATGGCGTTGCCCAAGAAATCTTGCTTTAAATGAATATACAAATTTAGGCGTTCAAGAATTTTGGAAAAAAATTTCAACATTAAAATCTGGTGATGATTCTCTTGTTTCCAACCTTAACTAATTTTGTGTTGAATCTAGTTTGCCACATTCAAAGGATACCTTCTCAAATAAATCTAAACAAAACTAAAATAAGAAATAAATTATCGACTGAAAGTTTAAGTGGAACTTTACGTATCAAAGTATTATTGAAAAATGACAGTTGCTCCAACTTTAGCATCCCTAATGATTTGTTTAGAAGAATGGATTCGTCAATGTACAATAAAACTCAAAATTAAATTATTATACCTTCTTTTGATTATTTTGCTTTATTGTTTTCTTAAAAACAAAATATTTTGTTATGCTATATTCGTTCGTTCGCTATTTATACAGAATAATTTTTTTAAATATTTTTTATAATATGCATACTCAATTTATCATATATACAAGTATATATATATATACAGGGTGACTTCGAAGTTGAGTCATTTATTTTAACAGTGAGTAGATCTGATCAAAAGAAATGTTTTTTTCCTTTACCATTTATCTGGTAAAATTAAAGTAACAAAGTTATAGCCCTTTGGATGTTTGAGTACCCCCCTGTCTCAATAATAATATCATGTGCTCGTGTTTGGCAACAACGGATATAATCCGCCTTATTGGTTCATCGCATCGGAAACAAAAAAGCGAAAGAATTTGGAACGATGTTTTTACAATTATTTCATTCAGTTGTATACAGTCAGTGTCAGTCGGTAGTGAATAGTGGTGTCTGTTGCGTGGCTCAAACGAAATAAAGAATGGCACATGTATATGCGGATCGGTTTCCCAATCGAGTGCAACCAACCCCTCATGCCTTTGTTAATGTAGTACAACGGGTTCGTGAATCATTTGACTTAAGACCTCGCATATGGACGGCATGCCGGTGCTCCAAGACCTCACGATCAAATACAGGTCCGCACTGAAATACTTGTCGGGAGCATACTTTATTAAACAAGGTAAAATTTTTTTTATTTTTACACACATATTTGGTTTATCTTCCTTCTACAATCATTATCTGAAAATTAATGACTCAACTTCAAAGTCACCCTGTATATATATATATTTTTTAATAAATACCAGGTACGTTAATTGAACTAATTATACGTAAAAAAATGGTTTGCCTTTGTTTATCAATACTTCTACCACAAATTACAAAAAATATTAAGATGAATATTAAATATACAGGGTGACTTTGAAGTTGAGTCATTAATTTTCAGATAATGATTGTAGAAGGAAGATAAACCAGAATATGTGTGTAAAAATAAAAAAAAAGTAAAAAAAAAAAATTTACCTTGTTTTATAAAGTATCCTCCCGACAAGTATTTCAGTGCGGACATGTATTTGATCGTGAGGTCCCCTGTGAGGTCTTAAGTCACCTGATTCACGAGCCCTTTGTACTACATTAAAAAGGCACGAGGGGTTGGTTGCACTCGATTGGGAAACTGATCCGCATAAACATGTGCCATTTTTTATTTCGTTTGAGCCACGCAACAGACACTATTCACACGCTAACCGACAGACACTGACTGTATGTATAACTGAACTGAATAAAATACTTAATTGCAAAAACATCGTTCCAAATTCTTTCGCTTTTTTGTTTCCGATGCGATGAACCGGTAAGGCGGATTATATCCGTTGTTGCCAAACACGAGTACATGATATTATTATTGAGACAGGGCGGTACTCAAACTTCCAAAGGGCTATAACTTTGTTACTTTAATTTTACCAGAAAAATGGTAAAGGAAAAAAACATTTATTTTGATCAGATCTACTCACTGTTAAAATAAATGACTCAACTTCGAAGTCACCCTGTATAAAAGAAATTCTAAAATAAACATGGTTTTTCAAGTTGTTAGGGAAATCTAGGGAAATTTTGGCAAAATATCTAGGGAGAAAGAAATAATCGTCTGACAACACTGTGTTCGGGTAGAATTTTTATTAAGCGAATGTCACATAATCAATATTTACTGGGATCCGTTAGTGTTTATCATAGAATCTGGACGTTAGTAATTATTGATTTATAAGGTTACGTAAAAATCCACTGTGTGACATTCGCCTTTGGCTCATGGTATTCAATATTAATAAATTTGTTGTATAAGTGACTCTTTTTAAAATTATCGTCCTTACCTCGCACTTGTCACAAGTTCTTCCAATGAATTTTTCTTTGCATTCGCATTGTCCAGTAATATTGTCGCATTGTTTAGAGGCCGACCCAATGGGATCACATTCACACGGTTTACAGTTTGACTGGGTCGGATCTCCGTAATGCTCCGGTTTGCACTTTTCACATTTCCAACCTTGAAATAAACAATAAGAATGATTTTGAAATAGTTATATATATATACAGGGTGTTTCAGTTTATTGTTGCATAACTTTAAGATTCGATAGGACTTTTAAAATTAATGCATAAAGACTATATAAACATGGGTCGAATAATGCGTGGCTTCCAAAATATAGGGTGTTTAAGTTTACTTTCTAAAATAGTTTTTTTTTAAATATTTCGAACAACATTTGATGTATAACAGTGAAAATTGGTATACCAGAGTTTTTTGGTACGACAAAACGAACCATAGTTTTACTGTAGCCGCTAGAGGACGCTCTCTACTGGACCTGTAGTGTATTAAAATGACCGAAAATTTTTTCTTAGTGCAATTTTTTGCTTTTTGAATAAACAAACTGATTCTTCGCACTTTTCAACATAAAAAAGCTCTCTTGTGAATTTTCGTTATAGTTAGTCGTTTTTGAGATATTTCGATTTTAAGGTTCGATGCATTTTTAATTATTTATGATAAAATAACGTTAAAAAAGTCAGTATCTCGATAATTTTTAGAAGTAGGCTGTGCCTGCAAATATTTTTGAAATTGAAAGCAGAATAAGGTTAAACGTCAATTAGGTGACAGTTAGTTTTGTTGTCCGTTGAAACCTGAAACGTTTTTTTGCAATTGTGAATGCACGAAATTTAGTTTCTTTTACATGTTTTTTTGTAAGTTTTATAAAAATGCCATTTTTATTCTCCAATCAAGAATTAGCGGATATTCATTTTGTTCATGGCTTTGTAAATGGAAACGCAGCAGGAGCAGCCAGAGAATACGCACGAAGATTTCCAAACAGACGACATCCAACTCGCTCAGTATTTGTAAGAGTGCATCGCCAAATAATTGAAAATGGTTTTGGAAATCTCCAAAGGGATCAAAACATAGCAGATTTACCCGTATGATTCTGCGTGAGTTTGATCGAGATCAGACCACAAGTATTAGGAGAGTTTCTGGTGCCTTGGGAATTTCAGCAAGCCATGTTCACCGTGTTCTTAGAAATGACCATAAACGTCCTTACCATTTGCAACCTGTGCAAGGACTACAGCCAGGGGACGGAGAACGAAGAATCACATTTTGTCAGTGGATTCTTGATAGAACTGATAATAATAGGGAGTTTTTAAGTAACGTTTTATGGACCGATGAGTCATGCTTCACTAGACGTGGAGTGGTAAATTTTCATAATCAACATATTTGGTCGCATGAAAATCCGCATGCAGTTCGGGAAAGAAATTATCAGCATGAATTTAGTGTGAACGTGTGGATTGGTATCTACCGTAATCGACTATTTGGAATGCAAATATGTGGGATGATGTTATGTTAGATTTAAGAAGATTGGCCTGGTTCCAGCTTGATGGTTGTCCAGCTCATTATTCGAGAATAGTTAGAAACTGGCTGGACGAAAATTATCCAGAAAGGTGGATCGCCCGTGGAGGACCAGTCGCCTGGCCTCCACGATCCCCTGACCTAAATCCATTAGATTTCTTTGTGTGGGGATTTCTAAAAGAAAAAGTGTACCAGACTCCCTTAACCACAAGAGATATGCTAATAGACAGAATTAGGAATGCATGTGATGAAATAAGGCCTTATTATGAATAATGCTATACCACGTTCGATCATTCGTAGATGTGAATTGTGTATTGAACAATTGGGTTTACATTTCGAGCAACTACTTTAGATTTTGTACGTTTGTCCTAACTATCCAATAGCATTTTAGTTGTAAATAATTAATTTCATTTGTTGAAAATAATATTGGAAAAATAAACAAATTAATATTCTGTTTTTTTGTGTTTATTTGGAGTAAGGAATTATTGGTGTGTTTAAAAACACAATCTAAACGATCATCTTAATTACTTGTAATGCCCAAATTGAAAATGTAAAAAAAAATATTATTTTCCCATAAATAACTAAAAATGCATCGAACCTTAAAAATCGAAATATCCCAAAAACGGCTAACTATAACGAAAACTCACAGGAGAGCTTGAAAATGTTGAAAAGTGCGACGTCAGTTTTTTTATTCAAGCAAAAAATTGCACTAGGAAAAAAAACTCGGTCATTTGAATACACTACAGGTACAGTAGAGAGCGCCCTCTAGCGGCTACAGTAAAACTATGCCCATGGTTCGTTTTGTCGTACAAAAAACCCCTTGTATACCAATTTTCACTGTTATACATCAAATATTGTTCGAAATATTTAAAAAAAACTATTTTAGAAAGTAAATTTAAACACCCTGTATTTCAGAAGCCACGCATTTTTCGACCCATGTTTATATAGACTTTACGCATTAATTTTAAAGGTTCTATCGAATCTTAAAGTTATGCAACAATAAACTGAAATACCCGTATAATCGCAAAACTATGTAAAACCTATAACTCACATCTTGTTGTTTAAAAAAGTATATTGCACAATTAAGAAACTACTTTTATGAACCTGCTAATTTTAGAATATTAACCTTCAGTATTTCCTTTACAGCTGAGACATTGCCCAGTTTTTCTATCGCAAGGGCCACCATTACAATCACATGGTTGACAACTGTTTCCTACTTCCAGAGGGTTTCCAAAGTATCCGTCATCACATCTGAAATTCAATATTACTTAATAAGAAAACATCGATAAACCCGTTTTTTTAAGTCGGACGTATTTCTTCATATATCCTTACTTTGTTTCGAGACAGATGTTAGTAATAATTTTAGAAGCAGAAATGGTAAGATCTCCGATTAAGTTGAATGAGCATCCTTTTCAAAAGGCATCTTAAATAATAGTGATTTCTACTTCATGAACATGGTGAATGTACGATTTGAAAAACGATGTAAAATTACGGTGACAGCAAATCTATTGATGATTTATAAACATGATGATTGTGCAACATGCAATTCTGGCGAAGGCAAATCCCAATGCCATTTGGATACTATCCTTTACACTAGTTTACAAATGTTTGCTTTCAAAAAGGTACCTCGGCAAAAAGATGTTTTTTAGACTAATTTGAGGTCACCAAAAACGAAAATGACTCTTATTTATTTTTCAAAAAAAAATATTATTGAGATTTTTGCAAAAAACATGTTTTTTATACCCTAGTGCAGTTATAACCTGAAATCTTCGAAACGCTACGCGTGGTTTTTTTGAAGTGTATTATTTTCGGCAGGCAATGTGTTTCAGTTTGTTCAGATATTTATAATTGTCAACTGTCACTTTTGTTTTTGATTATTCTGTATTCTGAGTATTCTGATGACATCTATGTCATGAGAAAATACACCGAAATGTGCAAGCAAGCACACACTGGATAAGTTCTGTTGATTTTGTTTATATACAGGGTGTTAGGGAAATAATATTCGTAACTTTAAGAGGTGAGGCCTTCTAAAATTTCAAACTCAAACTATCAAGGTTCGGAACAACACTTAATTTTAGCCTTTTTATTTTTAATAATATAATAATTGGAAAGCATAATGTGTGACTATTCCGAAGTAAAATTGCCCAGCTAATAAAAACATGGCCTTCAAATTGTCATGTGATGATTCACTCCGCAGATATTTCAGTCAAATTATTCGAATATGTCGCACCATAAATAAGAATCGCTTCGATTTTTTCTCCCAATGGACGAGAATTGACCATTTTAAAAATAGTTCAAACAGTATCTAGCACTAAAACCGAAAACTAAATAAGAATATTTTAATTGTACAATGATGTTTGTTTTCGTACTGATATTCTTGTCACTGTCAACAAAAAATAACAAAGCAAGTTTTTATCGCTGTTGCTGTGGATACGGCAGGGAATTACAATTATTTGTAGAGATTCTAAGCAAAAAAGTTCATTATAATGTTTGTCCGAAAATCAACCGTTTCGGAACAAAACAATGCTAAACTTATTTTTTTTTAGTCATGAAATAAATTAATTTTGTACCTTAATAATTTAAATACATATGCGTAATAGCATAAAATTTATCAATACATCTATTTATTAATTAACTGGCTCTAACAAAATAATTTTCTTGCTTATTAAATACAATTTTCCGAAGAAAAACGGACAAACGAAATCCCTCACACAACTGGCAACGTCGTACTCCGCCTGCACTGCATGTATGATCGCGTGTTGTTGTGATAATACATTTAACTGTAACTTTAACTGTACCGGTAAGTTCTGTCATTTTTTTATAAGTAAATGTACTGTACTGAAAGAGTTATTAAAAAAAATGTTAGCTACAAAAAATTGCGTAAAAGTATTCAATGATTCAAGGCATATTTTCAACAAAAATATCATACAAACGTAACAATTCGATGAATCAGTTGCGGTCGCCGCACGCTCGTAGCGCGGTTGCGTTGCAGCGTTGCCAAATGTTTGAGAAAATTTAATTATCTACGACTCACTTTCCTCGAAAACGATTGATTTTCGGACATAAGTTATAATGAATTTTTTTCTACAATAATGCAAATAATCGCCTATTAAAGTTACGAATATTATTTCCCTAACAAACTGTATATTCAAAGAAAGTGCCCGAAAAAAGCTGACCACAAATAATCTTAGTAGCTTACGAGCAATATTTTAGTTTTCGATCAAAAAATGTAGTGAAAACGTGGATCTTTTGTCTCCGAATTTGAGTGCTGCAAGTGATGGACAAGGCGAGGGATTTCATCAAGGCATTGCTGCGATTGAAAAGCGTTATGAGGCAAAAGGCGTGATGAGCGACATAAGAGGAAAAGGTTGAGAGTCTAAGCCTATTTTGGACTCTACATTCACGTCATTCCAAATTTATGTCCAATTCAGACAAAGTTGGGCTTGTTATGTAGGTAACAAGATTATCTTTAAGCTTACATAACACTGGACAACAAATTTTAGTTTTTTTAATTGTATCTTGTGGGAAAAGTGCACTTCTTTGTTAATTTTGGGGCGCTGAATCCAAAAATGACAATGAAATAAAAAAATTAGTTGCGGTTTAGAAAAAAACTTTTTATTTTTAAGGATATATTAAAAAAGTAACAAGATTCATATACTTATAAGAATCACTATATGCGCTGTCTTTTTGCTGTTCTTTTATGGATCGTTTCTGGAGCATCTCTACCAAGAGTCCAACAGTAGTCTGCAAGCATGGAAGGATTCTACATTCCCTGGTACCTTTTTTTCATTGTTGAAATATCCTGATGAAAACGTTCGCCGTGCTCATCACTTACGGCTCCGCAATTGTCAGGAAAAAAGTCCAGGTGTGAGTGTAGGAAATGTATCTTAAGAGACATATTACAGCCCATCTTTTGATACGATAACAGCATATTTTTGACAAGGGTTTTATAGTTGTCAGCTTTTCTATTTCCCAAGAAATTAGTGACCACCAGACGGAAATCATTCCAAGCAGTTTTTTCAATACCTGTTAAAGTGTTTTCAAACTGTGTATCATTCAAAATATTTCGAATCTGTGGCCCAACAAAAATACCTTCTTTAACCTTTGCCTCACTTAGTCTTGTAAATTTCTGACGCAGGTATTGAAAAGCTGACCCATCTATATCTAATGCCTTGACAAAGTTTTTCATTAGGCCCAACTTGACATATGCTGTACATTTTTTTGACCTGGCTCTAGGAATTGACGAACAGGCCAGTTTTGTCTGGTGTAATGAAGTGCCTTTGCCCGACTGTGCCATTCTCACAAAAAACAGCAAAACTTTGTGTAGCCTAGCTGCAGCCCAAGTCAAAGTGCAACAACTTTCAAATCGCCACAAATAAGCCATTGGTGCTCATCGTATTTTATGCATGTCAATAGGTACTTCATATTGTCATATGATTCCTTCATGTGAACTGCATACGCTACAGGAAGAGATGGTAAAATATTTCCAATATGCAATTTATGCCTTTAAACTCAATGTTGAACTGTCTATAAACAATCTCCATTCTTCTGGGTTATAGTTTATATTTAAAGCCGCCAGTAAGCCGTTAATGTTACTGCAGAAAACCAAGTTATTCTCTATATTGAAAAATGGTTCTAAGTCTTTGTGGCGTTTACGAAAAACACATACCGAAACATCGTCTTCTAACAAGTTCCACTGCTGCAGTCTTGATCCAAGTAACTCTGCCTTACATTTTGGAAATTCTAAATCTCTTACAAGATCATCTAATTCTGACTGTGTTATTTTGTGCGGTTGGTGGCATGACGTGCTGGGTATAAAATCAGGATCTCTTGACGTTGATGGCATAGCTTTTTGATTCGCAAGTGTAGGATTCTGGGGGTTTTGGAATAGGATTTTCGTCACTGTGAGGCACAGGTCTCATCGCAGATGGTATGTTTGGGTAGTTAATAACCGATTTTTTTTTTCTTGGACTTACCTGTGGCTTGTCCAACACAAGGTACCATGCAAAAGTAACAATCATTAATATGATTTGTAGGCTCTCTCCAAACTATTGGGACAGCAAAGCGCATAGACCGTTTTTTTGCCATTTAACCAGCTCCTCAGACTTGAAGCACATCTATTACAGCAGATCTGGGGTGCCCACTGTTTGTCTTGATCGCCTAGTTTACAACCGAAATAAAGCTGATATGCCTTTGTTATTAATGGAGTAATAGACGGTCTCTGAGACGCAAAAGTCACATCACCACACACGTAACAAAACTGATCTGGATTGTTTACACACTTTCGAGACATCTTGCATGAACGCTGTCAGCCAGCTGAGGAAAAAATGGCTAATATAAAACAATATAATGTACACGTATGTATAACGTAACACAATCATGCCGATTACATCATCTTTCCTTGCCGAATATAAAAATGTAGCACGTGCATTCTTGTGAATTACAGTATATTAACACTGTCACAGCAGGAACACATATAATTACCGTATCTCTAAAACTTGAACTAATATTGAAAAAATAAGTTTCATTCCGGTTTTAGCACATTAAAAATAGTAATATTTAGTTGATTTTATTTAGGATATTTTTTGGCTGTTGATCAGTGTAATTTATGTTGGTATAAAACATTTTTTGTCCTTTCAACTTTCAAGTGCTATTTTGCACTACGAATTTAATTGATACAAATCATATATTGCCATGAAGGGAATATGTGTGGGTTTTGAAAGTTACACACGTCCAAAAAATGACGCCTACCATTTCCGAGATTTCAGGTAATATGCCACAAAAACACGTTTTCTGCAAAAAGCTCGTTCTTTGGAAAAATATATGAGAGTCACTTTCGTTTTCAGCGACCTCAAATAAGTATAAAAAACACCTTTTTGTCGAGGTACATTTTTCGTGTAAACTAGTGTTATCTGCGGTAATACTCCAGGAAGGATCTTCGAGTCTACTCGGAAAAATGATCTGTTTAGGGATTTTGCACAACCTTAATAAAAAGGAACAACAACAATGTTTGACGCAATTTTAGGTCTGACAACATGACCCCTTGTGTCTTTTTTAAATTAGATTATGTAAAAAATAATCGAAATATTAAAAAAAAAAATATTTTTCTAAACCGATGCGAAGATACTGCCTGTAGTATAACTATCCAGGTAGTCGGCGTGGCTGTTGGATTTATACAAGGCGATCCTCTATGACAAGTTGATGCTGCATGTTTGGATGCAAAATAAAGGAGGAAAATGGTGTACCGATGTTTCGTTGCCTTGCTAATGACTTGAGGCATGTACTGTTATGGCAGGAGCTCGGGTCAAAGTGTAATTGATGAAGGCGATTCCTCCAAAGTGTATCTATTATTCACGAGTGTGAGTGTACTTTTACTTCCAATATCCAAAATAACAAATGATCGGAATTAGAGGAAACTAAGGAACTTGGTTGAGCTGGTTTATGTAGACAACATTTAGTTTTGCACGAAACTACAGATAAAAAATTAAAAAATGTTTGTCTTTTACTAACATCCACTTTCAAACCTGTGACTATACAGTATATTCCAAATTTTGACACAATCGGCACAGTGGTTACTGAGGTTATGTAACGACAAAGAAGGTGAATCATCGCCAGAAAGGCTAAAAACTATTTTTCAACGCATTTTTTTAAAGCAAAGGATATTTGTCATCTATTCCATAAAAAGAATAATGGCATATATCACCCTGTATAAATACAATTACTGGGTGCCATTGCAAACAAATTTTTGACAACCTATTCCGTTCGTGCCCTAAAGTACGACAGCAGTACCTTGTACAAAGCAATAAAAAGGAGCTGGACCTTCTCAAGTGTGGCAAATAAAAAAAAGGATCGAAGTTCTTAGAAAACTATCGGCATCTTTAGAAATCTAAAGATTAAGGGCTTTTTCGCGGGTGGCCCTTCTACTATACTATAACTATCTAAAACTGTAATGACTCATCGATGTTCACGTGAACATCACTTAACTACCAGTAGTCGGCTGTTCATAGGCGGGGTATGAATGTTTAACATGGGTGAATTAGATTTGTCACATGCTTAATAAAGAGTGGTTTGAAACATATTGTAAGTCAAAAATTTGGGAATTACCTTTATTCATCGTCGCTTCCACTTACATCTGACAGTAATAAACTGTCGCTATCGCTTTCCTCGTTGAAATTGACTATAACTGGCTCTATGATGGTGTCGATGTGGTGGTCAAGCTGCCACATTTTGTTTCTTCCTTCACAACATGACGGATAGCATTCTGCCAAGCTTCGGGCGTTACTAGCTGTATGGAAGTCTCAAGTAAAACCTTAACGTCTGGTAATTTGAAGGTTGTGTTATGGCGCGCAATATAACCCTTCACTTGAGCCCAGATGAGCTCTATTGGGTTCAGTTCACAGTGGTAGGGCGGTAACCGCAGCACAGTGACACCACCTCATCAGTCACGTAACTAATGTTCGCAGGTTTGTGCTGCTTAATTTTTTCATACAATTCCGCTTTCACACATAAATCGTCAAACGGGATTCCTTTTTCGCGCAACCATTGCTGCATGTCACTTTTTCGAGATCCCATAGTCGGTACACGTTCGGCTCGACGACTATGGTAGGAAGCATTATCCATGACGATCACAGAGTTGGGCTCAACTCGCTGAAGCACCTCTTGAAACCAGCTCTCGAAGCAGCTGGCATTGATTTCGTCATGGTAATCACCTCCTTTCTTAGAGACGAAAATCAAGTCACACTCTTCTAAAAAGCCACTATCGCTACCAATATGAGTTACGATCAACCTGTTGACAAACCTTCAATGCTTGCTTGTCGGTTACTCACTACGTTTTTGTCTCTCCAGGTTTTTTTAACTGTGTGACCTGCATTTACCCATGTCTCGTCCAAATAATAGATTTTTCTGCTTTGTCGCCTATATTCAATCATTTCGCGTAGGTATTTTCGACGCCAGGCGACTATTTCAGGTTTCTCTATCAATACTGACTTCCGATTACGCGTTTCGTAACGAAAATTAATTTCGTGCAGGGATTTCCTTATTACCTCGACGCTCATTTGGGGTATAATTTCATTTTTCTTGATCGCTGCATGTACAGCCTTGAGGGTTGGTATCTCATTCCTAAAGAAGAATGAATGTACTGTTCGCCTTAACGCCATTTTGCCATCGTCATCCAATTTAATGGCCTTTCGGCCCTTCAAATTAAACTTTGGATCAGTAGTAGCTCCAGTTTTCTTCTTTTCATGCACCACCCTGCGAATGGTCCACTCTGGAACGCCTGTCATACTTTCACAACGCGCGAGTGCATCTCCTTGCGACATAGTTCTGTTCAGATAATTGAACACGTTGAGCACGATTTCTTTCGCGTCCCTCTTCAGTGCTTTACGAAGCCGTCTACTTGTTCCCTGGCTTTCAGTACTTCCACTCGTGCCATTTGTACTCTCCATGGTTAAGTATAACCAAAACAGTAACCACAGAAACCACAACAATAACAATCACACAACAATTCTTATAAAAACACACAATATGCGATCGCTCAACGAAACACGTTCCAATGCGTTGCCGACGCCTATGAGTCTGCCGGTCGAGGCGCGTCCTTGATTTCATTAGTTCTACCGGCGGAGAACAATCAGCCATTATTTCCATCTCTGTATGTGCTGTTGACCACCGCAAAGCCACAGAAACGACATATGTCGTACGGTATACGGCTGTATTGGAAGGAAGCCGGGATCGAGCTCTGATCACGTGTTGATCACGCGTATGAGTCATTACAGTTTTAAATAGTTGTAGTATAGTAACTTTGTAATCTATGTTTGAACCAGTGCAGTGTTTTGAAATAATGGTCACGATCCTCACTTTTATAGATAATGTTGAATGGGTGATTTTTTTCATACCGTGTTTTGAAATAATGGGCTAATTTTTGAATGACGCTTTTAAATAACGGTGTTGATCGCTTGTGTAGAATATTAAATCGAAAACAAGGGATTAATATTGCATTCCAAATGGGAACTGTTTTTAAACTTTCATCTATCGGATTATTTGTGTCAAATAGAGACAGGGAGAAATAAAAATATATCAAGATCATCAAAACTGGACTTACATTTCACAATGATCCCCTGTGTATCCTTTTGGACACTGAGTGCAAACGTAACTCCAATCGCTGCCATCGCCTTTGTTGAAAAAATCCAATTGGCAACTTGGACTGAAATTATTTTCTTCGTTTTCCAACGGACAAGCACATCTTAAAAAAGAATAACTATATTATGATTTTGTGATATTCATTTTGAAGAACAGGTTTTTGAGATGCTTGTTTCTGAACCGTCGTTGCAACAGCCCATTGTGGCATGTTTACATTTAGGCTGCGTTACACAGCATACTGTGTGGCTGCTCTAGAAACATCTATGATATCTTTTTGAATAAAATCATTACCTCTTGCAATCCTCCGTAGTACCCCTAAGCGGGTTCCCATAGTACCCGGACATACACCGTTCACACTTTTCTCCAGCAGTGTTATGTTCGCACTCGCACGCTCCAGTATCCAAATCGCACGCTGCAGAATGCCCATTGCAGTCGCATTTTGCGCAATAATGTTGCACTGGAGTGGAGCCATTGGAAGGAGGCGTTACACGTACATAGCCGAAGGAGCACTGCTCGCAAGACAGGCCACTGTAACCTAAGAAAAAGATGGTATTATAACGAAAACATCTATTTCCTAAACCAGCTAATTTAGTACTACGTGATAGAAGATTGCTAACACAGTCGAACAGCTATTTTGGGCCACATGAGTAAGAATGGAATCTGAGTATTTTTGATATGTTGATTTCAAAAATGTCCCTCTTTTTGTCGCAGCAGCTGCGATTTTCGGGATATAAGCTATTGAATTTAGGGAAAATATGTTACTTTCGACCTCGAAAAATAGTATGAAGAATGAAAATATTGTTATTGCTAAGGTTCGCAAGTATACTTGAAACGTCCTCTAAAAATTCTAATAGCGTTTTAGGGGGTATTGATATTGTGCACTTTTATATTTTAATTGCTTATACTTATCGTGTCAATTATGCATATGTTAAAATGGCGAATGAGCTTACATATATCTTAAAGTATCGCAGTGCGGTGACGTCGGCTTTCTGGACTCTGGCCAAGCAGATTGTACGGAACTTACCAAAGATTAGGCTTTCACCGCTTACGTACCAAGATGGAACGATTGTAACCGACTCAAAGGCTAAGGGGAAGTTATGGTATCCCAGCCTATGAAGGCAAACAAATATTTGTTGAAATTAAAATAGGCGTGCCCTCTAATTTTTTTCTATTTGACTCCAACAACCAAAAAAAATAAATATTCTTGCGATCGGGGAACGATCTTTGAAACTTTGAATTTGACAGTTAATAGGGAAACCATATATGGGTTTCACAACCTAATTCTTATTCGACAACTAAAACACTGCTTTATTTGTATCTTAAATTCCTTAGACATTTATCATTAAAAGAACATTGTTTATTAATTTTTTTTTTAAGTTTTCTTTAGCAGTCAGGATATACCTGCCTGTGTTCTTGTACCCAACGTAATTGAAACTGTTTTTGTTCCTCATCAGCAGTGATTAACCCATGGAAGTTTTGTATTAACTGTTCTTTCTGCCGTATCGTTAGCTGCTCCCAGTATTTGCCTCTTATTCTTAGCGTGTTGGAAAGAGTCACGATGTGGCCATGAAGTTGGACACTAGTCGAGAAAACTGTCAATCAATTTTGAGTCGACTGAACAAGGACTTGCTTTTGATTGAAACAAAGTCATCAATAGTTTTCTCTGAAATGAAAAAACTAAGAATAACTACCATACTGGTTTTGTCTGTCCGACCACAGACAGTCAACCATGGATAGACGTTTTGTGCTTTTTGGCAACTCATCAGCATGGTCTAAGCTTGGCCTCAGGTCAGGACAACGAACGAAGTCATAGTAGCTTATCTCTATATGAGATAGTATAAGGTGCCATCTATTGCCAGTTTATGGTGGCTTATTTGGTTTTGTCAATTCCTTCCTTACCATGAATTATGGTAAGGTGTTTTTACTGCTAAAGTGCATTGAAACCACGGTTTCACATATGTTGTCACGATGAACAGGCAGATATCGATCGAAATAATGTAGTCTGGGCGGCGGCACTCCAAATGTGTGAGCAATACTCGAGGCTAGGCCTGATCTGGGCCTTGCATAGACTGAGAAGGTCATGCGGAGAAAAATACTTCTTAGCCCTAATCAAATAGCCTAGCTTTTTCTCAGCAGCTGCCGCTATTGACGAGATCAGGTCCTCGGTGATCTGGACTCCGACCAGCAGAAATGAATGGCTCTTTGGCAGAACTCGGCCGTCCATCGAAACCGGATGAGCGCTAGGACACCTTTTGTTCGTCAATGTACAGTACTTTGTTTTGGAAACATTAAACTGTACAAGATTGTCAGGTCTCACGTCAGAGAGGAAGTCGTCGCTAGTCTTCTTTTTTCCATGTAGAGTGCTGTCATCAGTGAAGCTGTGGATTGGGTTGATCGTGCAGGAAAGGAGGTCGTTGATATGGTAGAGGAACAGTGTCGGAGAAAAAACCGATCCCTGTGGAACCCCCGCGTTGACGTTGTGATATCTTGCGGCCAGAGTCAGCCATCATCTGCAAAGCTTTTCTGGGAGGCCATAGGATGGAAGTTTGCATAAGATGGTAGCGTGCCACAGCTCATCGAACGCTTTCGTGATGTTAAGAGCAACGGCATGAGCCTCACCATAAGACTGGATGAGTTTACTCCACAAAGGCGTGACGTCAGCTAAGAGGTCTCCTGTGGATCGCTGGTGCCAGAAACAATACTGCTTGTCGCTAATCAAGCTACTGAGGTAACCCTTAACGCGTGTACAATCACTTGAACCGGAAGAAGTTGTATACCTAACTAACAATTATCAGTCCTATTAGGGTTGCAAGAATGATTATACAGTATTCCTTACACAGCATTGTATACTGTAAGAACATTGGCAAAATCCTCTTAGAACAGCTATACAAGCGGAATGGGCACACCTAATAGGACACTTCAGTCATTTAAGAGGTTGTATAAGGGATGCAGGTAACAATTATATAACAAAAGTGTAAGCCTCTTGCAGCCGCTATAGGACATTTGCGTCAGTGCAAGATTCAGTTTTTGTCAACTATACAACTATTCTGTTATTTGATTCTACTTTATTGCAACCAGACTGTTTCTTAAGTATTGTATAGACGAAGTGAAGAATATATAACTAACATATTACAGTTATCTTGTTTACTTACATATCGGCCGTTGTGAATTTCATACACAGGTATATGATTAACTTCTACACTGTGATATAGGGCTATTGAATTACTTGCGCAGTAAATTTTATCGTGATTATCGTGCAAAGTAGTTACGCAATTTCCTCGGGCTTCGTATTTGATTCATATTTTAATAATGATCCAAAGTATGTCTAGATTTTTAAGATGGAAAACTGAACTTATCTGCGTTAAATCTTCCACAAATCCTATATTTAGACACAATTACACTAATGTTTATCACTTTATATCTGCAATTTCGAGCTGAAAAATAATTATTTAATATTAAATAGAGGAACAAATGTTTGCCCAATATCGCGGACTGTTATGTATAATCATGGCATCGTCCATGTTGTCTTTGGTCTATTAGAATATTTTGGTGTTGCCTGCAGGTGTTATACAACAATTTGACAAATGTCTGAAATGAAATACCGACAGAGTCGAATGATTTACCTACAATTTGTACCAGATCTATACCTTCTGTTTTAACAGGTGATAAAACCTTTTGAACCAATATGCATGCGTTGTTTGTCTTAAAACATTGGTTATGGCATTTTGACAAAAATATATATAATAAGTTAGGTTATGGTGAAGTAGTATACCAACATATTTAGCAACAAATGTATGCTGAGCACAGCAAGTTTGTACTACAAAAGTTGAAATATTGTTGCATATGTACAGCCTTTAATAGTTACTAAACAACAGTTGTTTGTATAAGTGCTTCCGTTGGGAGCAATTTGTTGGCTAAAGTAGTAAATCTACACAGCAAAACAGCAAGACTCAGGTTTGCTTTATAAACGTTGCCATGGATGCCACAACACAACCATAAAATAGTTTATGCAACAGTTAAAAATTTGTCCTATAGGGTTGTATAACTATGCTATAAGAATATTTTAAACACATCATTTTATAGCAAATATGTTGCAGAAAGCAAACTTGCATCCCACACAACAATAAGCCAGCATTTTGGTGTTCAGGCAACAACAATAGAGAGCTTTTATGGCTGAACGGTTCTTTTACCAAAAGCTTATAGAACTACTTTGCTAGTTGGGTACTGGATACAACAACTTCCGGAACAAGCATTTGCCACGGCCCCGCTCAGTAGGGATGAAACAAGCAAACTAGCAACTTCTTTAGTCATTTCTTGTCGATAAATTCTAGCAGCTCCTCAGTCTATGAATATTCAGGTATAATAGCTTTTCAGTATAAATCTGTATTTTCTCGGAATTCACGCTTTTCCAGCTCTCGTGGGACTTTTTAGTCGTTGGAATGTCAGGGCTTGTAGTCACTTGGGCGATCTTTGATTCAAGGACGGCTATTAACACCAATTCGTAGGCGCGGTGACGGCAAGCAAAAAAAAGCATTTCTTTATTAAGTTTCTGTTAGAGACGCATGCAGGCACCGTTAATAGTAGAACTATGGGGTTGTCCAAAACGGACGCAGGGAAGTAAACGCATATTAAAACAAGAAAGATTGATATTCAAATCAAGTTGGGTACTTTATTTTGAAGGTTCATTTATACCATTTATGTATGAAAAATAATATCGCTCAAATGTTCACCACGACTGGATTTACAGACGTCCACGCGATGGTCGAAATTTTCAATGACATTTTGCACCATGGTCGGTTCTATGGCATTTATCTCGGCAATGATGTTGTTTTTGAGTTCTTGGAGGGTAACTGGTTTGTTGACGTAGACTTTGCTTTTCAAATATCCCCATAAAAAGAAGTCCAAGGGAGTCATATCGCACGATCTTGGTGGCCATGGCACATTTCCTCTGCGCGAAATCACGCGATCACCGAAGAAGGACTGCAATCGATGGATATTGACGTTGGTTGTGTGGCATGTTGCACCGTCTTGTTGGAAATAAACATCGTCCATATCCATTCCTTCAAGTTGCACCAAAAAATAGTCCTCTATCATCACGTGATATCGCTCAGAATTGACGGTAACGGCGTCCCGGCCGCATTTTCGAAAAAGTAAGGTCCGATGACGCCTTTTGACCACAATGCACACCACACAGTCACTTTTTGAGGATGCATCGGCTGCTCTTGATACTCACGGGGATTTTCGTTCGCCCAGATGCGGCAGTTTTGCTTGTTTACCGTCCCATTCAAAGTGAAATGCGCTTCGTCGCTGAACATGATTTTTGATGAAAAATTGGCATCAATTTGGCGGTGTTCAAGGAGCCAATCTGAGAACGTTCGGCGCGAAAAATAGTCGGCCCGACGCAGCTCTTGCTCTTGGATCTTGTAGGCGTGTACATCCAAATCCTTGTGGAGAATGCGGAGCAAACTGGTTCTCGAAATGCCCAATTCTTGGGATTGACGCATTGTTGATTCTTTCGGATCGTCTCTCAAACTC